TGTCTTCTGTTCCAGAGCTGTCTGTGTATTGTTCAAGACTAATTGGAACCCTCCTCTTCCTAGTGGAGCGCCTGAGGTTGGTGGCCGCAGACTGAAACAGTTCAATGGTAAAATATTACAGTTACGACCTATGTTCTTAAACTGAGCAACTGGAATAATGCAGCTACAATATTCACCACTTGTTGTTATTTGAGAAAGGCCCCAATATTTATTAATTATGATTAACATCAACATACAAAGGTACTGATGAATTACAGCAAAGAAAACCTAGCTCAACCATCAATTTAATCAACTAAATGTCGGAAATTATGAAATCAAAATTATGCAAACGAAGCAAACAGATTGCATTCCATACATTTGTTTTGGATGATCTCTTTTGATGCAACATCCTAGCTATTTGAGCAGCAGCAGCAGCCCTTGTTTTGGTCTTCTTTCTCTTAGACCGTATGATTGTGGGAGTATAATGCAAGTATGAGCGATTATAAAACTTCGGCCGGCTCCTGATCCTATCGCTTGTACGTACTGGCCTTGCGTCGGGTCCATCCCCTTCTGCTGATCTTTTCGAGTACATTGGACGAACTAGAGCTTTTCCATGGATATGGAGAACAAACCTAAGAAAATAACACGTTCGCTAACTGAATAAGTAATATTTTCATACAACATGAATGTGACCAATAGATGACCACAGACACGTATGCAATTTGGCCGGCCGAAAGAGACAATGAATTGCACAAGAAACCTGGTATGTATCCATTCTTACAAAGGCAAAGGCAACAAGGACAAGCTAAAATCACAAAAGAAGCATGTTTAAAATGACAGAGACAAGAACAACTTGGTCTCAGCCTAAGGAGTTCATTATAAGATAATACATATGATATTTTCTCGGCTGTCATTGGATGCCAGGGTAGGGTCCAGTGAACCAATACATGAGCATGAAGTTGAGTTCAAGGAATGAATCAAGAAATAAAAATCTCTATGTGATTCTGACCAACTATCCCACGCAGAAGACTGTATATTCTACTCTCCAACTAAGCATGAGAATTGCCTAATGTTCCATGCTCAACTGCCTGATTAAACTATTCTACATAACAAGTTTTTTCTGATTGTAACTCTAATAGAACAGTTCAGATTTCCAGCTATATGATAAATACATTGTTACAGCAACATAGTGCGCTAGAAAACTGTATGATCTCTCTTTTCACATTCAAAATTCTTTTAGCCAACTACTATCAAAGCAACTCATTCTAACAAAGCAACATAATGAGCTAGAAAACCCACATTCGACGCGAAATAAACTAATCCATCACTGCTGAATCGGATATTTCAAGATTACAGAGCACTATCAACGCCGACAAAGCTCAACAATGCCATTTGATTCCTCACTCACAACCCACTTGCATTTAGCCCCAATTTCACTTGCCCCTACTGGCCACATCCACAACCAACAATAGCATTCAAATCCTTACAAAACTCGAGCTTATCAACATCGAGGACTCAAAAATCAGTTCAACTGCCATTTCAGAACAAGCAACAATCAACAAGGATACACACGACGAACAAACAAAACAAAACTATGAACCAAGAACATCCCGACGTCAATCTCAGTTGAGTATAACGCAATAAAAATTTGCATGCATGCCGCACACCAGGGAATTCCAAGAAACATCAAACAGCAGCTGAAAAGAAGCAGAAATTTTGGCCACAAGAAAAGATTGAATTTGCCCAAGCTGGGAGATGAACAGAACTCGAAAAAAGGCAACAAAAAACAAATCACGAAACTAAATCGATTCAATCAAACTCGAATCACATTCAGAGGTAAGTGTACCTGTAAATTTGGTGCAAAAGTGACGAGAGACAGAGGTTTGGGTGTGAGAAAACTTGGGAGGTCAGTGTTACTGGCGGTACAGAGACAAGGGACAGAGGTTTTTCGTTTTTATTCTTGCTTTTTTTATTTATTTATTTTTATTTTTTTCCTTTTTGTCTTGCAATTTTAATCGTTGTGGGCTTTGCATTGGACCTGGGCT